AGTGAAGGGCAAACCCCTAATTTACTCCAAGTGCCATTCCACGTGTTCCATTATTGCTGCCATGCTCTGGTAAGCGAGATTTAATTTGAGTAGTTTTTTTTTTCCTTTTTTTTTAAATACAAAGTCACAACATAAATCCTGCCAATAATAATAATAATAATAATAATAATAATAATAATAATAAATAAATAAGGTTTGGAAGGGGCCGAGTCTTGATGAAACACATGGGAGCTTCTTGTTCTCTGGGAGACTCCTAGTTGATGGATATATAATTGTATATTATTTAACAATATAAGTATCATTTAATATAAAAATATATCACAATACAATTTTTCACTAACTTTACTTTTTTTGCGTGCTGAATAATATATATAATAATTTAATTATGTGATTATGGAGAACAGCTGTTCTTGAGAATACGTACTTTTATTTTATTGATGAAATATTATAATTTTTTATACTTTAGTATAAAATAATTGATCTTATATAAAGAATCATACATGTCATGCTTTTATATATAAAAAAATTATTAATGAGCAAAATAGACTTTGAAGTATTATGCAAAAAGCGCTCTGAACCTGAACTCATAAAATATGCAAAATAAATTTTAAATTTTTAAATTCATAACAAATTAAATCCTATCATTAACTCACTATTAATGCCGTTACTTTTATTAAGTGGGGCTAATCAAAATGCTGTTGTGGCAGTTCCTTGCTGATATGTCATTTTTTAACGAGCGTCACAGACCCTAAACTATTACATGAGTAGCATCTTGGATCCTAAATTTTAAAATTCAAAGCAAATTACCCTTATTATTTATGTGTAGAATAATAATTATTCTGCAAACCAAATTAGTCTCAATGTAGTCTGCCGCAATGAATGCATTGTTAGCCACAATAAAAAACCTATAATTTTGTAAAATAACATTTTTTACTTTCATTTTGCGATGTTTTCCAAAATGATTAATATATCATGCTTTCATATACTATATAACTCTGATTTAGTCTCATTTTGAATAATATTTATTTATTTCATAGTAAAATTTGGGATTCCATTTAAAAAAAAAGTTTAAATATTAGAGGATTTTACAAATGGTGAATGTGAAAGCCAACACTTTCATCAATAGATTTCAAATTCAAATTAATCAGTTAATTAAAATTTTAAACTTCTATGAAATTCTAATTTTTCACCATTAAATAAATAAACATTATTCAAAATACAACTAAATCAAAGTTATAGAGTATATGAAAGCATGAGATACCAATTGTTGGAAAAATATTGCAAAACAAAAGGGGCAAAAATATTATTTCACAAAATTATGGGTCTTTGATCACAGCCAATGATGCATTCACTATAATGGATCACATTGAGGCTAATTTGATTTATATAATAATTATCGTTCTACACATAAACAATGGAAATAATTTGCTTTGAATTTCAAAGTTTAGATTTTAAGATGCTACTCACGTAATAGTTTATTATTTGTGGCACTAATTAAAAATGACACATTAGTAAGAGACTACTACATCAGCATTTTGATTAGGCCCCACTTGATGAACAGTAACGACGCTAATGATGAGTTAATGATAGAGTTTAATTTACTATAAATTTAAAAATTTATGATCTATTTTGTACCTTTCAAAGGTTCAGGGTCCAAAGCATTTTTCGTGTAATATTTCAAGGTCTATTTTCCTCATTAACCAGAAAAAAAAACATAGCATCAACATCTATGAAAGGTTAAAGTATATATTTGATCCCTTAATTTTACACAACATTTTATTTTAATCCCTTAACTTTAAAAAATATCTTTTTAGTCATTTAATTCTAATACTGTTAGTTTCATTCTAACAAATTTTTACATTAAACTTTTAAATATTGACAAAACATTCTCAAATGTTGACATATTAAGTTTAATTTTTTAAAATAACAATAATTAATACAAAATATAATCATTTGAAACTAATGATATTATGGTTAAAGAACTTAAAAAAATATTTTATAAAATCAAAAGATCAAATTAAAACTTTATATAAAGTTAGAGAACTAAAAATGTACTTTAACCTATATAAAATTAATTCTTTTTAGTCCGATCCAAATATCTTGACTTTTTTTTAAAAATTCTTTATATATTTATTATCAGCATCGTATTTTATCATGACACATGAAAAAATAATTCTAGCCTCAAATCTATTTAAAAAAAAACCTTAAAAATACTTTTAGAACCATACTATATAATGGGAGTGGAAAAATAGACAATTTTCTTTTTTAAAGAAAAGGCAGTTTAGATAAGTTAGCTCTTAAAAAAAAAAATCAAAGCAAACTTCCCAACTCAAAACACACTTCCAATGTTTGTTTACCAACAAAATCTCATTGAAAATAAGGTCGAAACCCATAGCCTTATCGAATGTGTCACATTTTTATCTGCTTGTAAATAATAAAACACTTGAGAATATTAAATGAAATATCCCCTTCATATCCTCATATAAGATGTTTTCTGAAAGTTTGTTTTGTGTCTGATATAAGGAAAGTTAGGATATTTTTGAGCAATAAATTAATTTTGTCCTTGTTTTAAAAAATAGATGAGATATTAATTGTATGTTTTACCTATCATCATAATATTAATTATGAAATTATTAGGGGCAAAATTAGAAAATTATTACTTTATGTTATGTCAACTAAATGACAAACTTTTATTGATATACGAGGTTTGGTTAAAAACACCTTGTATATAAGAACAAATGAAGTAGTTCATTTATAATTATGATGCCTGCTTATTATGTTAACTATAAATGCTTGAAATTCTTACAATAGGATAAAAAAAAAAAAACATATATGCCAATTGGCACAAGCAACCTGTCATTATATATATATATATATATATAACAAAAGTTTGTGAATTAAATTACAGGAGCCCACTAACACTAGAATATGCCTTTAGGTTTAAAAAATATTTATAAAAATACTTACAGATTATCCATCAATGTGAGATTTGATCCCACAATTTTATGAGTTATAGGTCAAATTCTTACTAATCAAACCAACCTTTGTTAATAAAACCTATGAGAGTTAAATAAGACTTACACCTGCCCTTGAATCTAGGCTTAAATCTCTCTATGGTTGTAAACATAGCCATAACCTAAGCCTACAGGTGTCAAAACCCTTGCAAGTGACACACACACAATGTAAGCAATTTCAATGTCAATTTCCAGCAGGGTTTGGGTCTTCACAAAAAGGTATAATCCTTTATAATATGATGAATTAAAATTTAAATTTTATTAAAAAAGATATCCATATTTAATATCAAATTATGCTTTAAATAAAATTGCTCCCAATTCGATGAGCAATAAAAAAAAGGTTAGAAGATATATTTGTCTTGAGATTTTTTTTTCAAAAGTATTAAGTATTTTAAATTTTTATTTAGAACTTGATTGCCCTGAAACTAATAAAAGGGGGTTTTTTCACCTTACCATTAAATGCATCGTGTATTGACTGTCAAAGATCAAATTTGACCAATAGAAACGTCACTTTTAATTTGTAAAACTTACACGTGGCATTTGACTCAAACTTCCACATCCACACTTGCCTAAAATTTCCAACCCCTTCCAACTCCAAACACTCTAGATTGGGATTTTTTGCCAACATCATTCACTGGAGGTTACCATACCCAACCCCTGCCATAGCAAATCTATCCATATTTAACTCATCATCCTTATTCCCAAGTAATTTAACTTCCTACTCATCAAAATCCCAATCAAATTTATATATCTATCCCCTTCCGATTCCATCAAACTCATAACTCTTTCATCCAAAAACCCCCTCGTCATCCTCATCATCATCTTCAAATCCACCCTCACCAAACCCTTCGAGTTCAAACACCCAAAACCCAAATGAACAATAGCCACGACCATAAAGAAGAGGTTTAAGAAATCAAAAAATCAAGCCAAGAAATCACTTGACAAATAAGCCAACAAATGCAGAGAGCAAAACCGGATATCCAAGCCAAGAAAAAATTACCAATACATGCTTCATCATCGTCTAATTATAAAGAAACTACCCAAAATTGTGGAGAAAATCAAAACAGAATCAAGAGAGAGAACAAAAAAAAAAAAAAAGCACCCCCAATAAAGAGAGAACAAATACCAAGATCTAGCATGTTCATCCAAATTTCTCGTTGAGGTTATCTTCTACATCTCAAACCCAGATCTCAAAATCAAATACCATATGTATTCCTCTAAAAATTGCCCGTGTCAACATGAACAAGAAGCCCATTCCACTATTGCGTCCCTTCTTTGCCGAATCAAAGCGCTTGAATCTTCTCTCCAATGGATTTCTTGTTTGTCTCTTCCTTTCAGGACACTGCAACTCATGTTATTCAAACCCGACAAAAAATTGATTCTTGCAAATGGGGGGAAGATCGAAAGGCAAGGAGGAAGAGGAGGTGGGGAGGGATGGTGAAGCACACGAGAGGAAGAGGGAGGAGGAGGAGCAGCTCACGAGATCCAGAGTGAAATGGCAAGGAGAGAGAGGAGATCGCAATTTTGGAATCTAGAGTGAAGCAGAGGAATTGGGAGGAAGAGAAAGGTAGCATGTGGAGAAGAGAGGAAATTTGTTTTCTTTTTTCTTTTTTTTTTAAATGCTAAGTGGCTATCACTTGACATACAAAGTCATAATAACGATCAACACATCGTCACACTAATGGCAAGGCCAAAAAGGCTCCCTTTTTTAGTTCCAAAGCAATGAAGTTCCAAACGAAAATTCAAAATACCCAACACCTCTAAAAAAAAAATTTCCAAGACAAATATACTCTTTAACCCGTAAAGAAAAACAAAAAAAATCCACTGTCAATTAAGAAATGCATGTATCATATCATAGGAGGCTTCAAAGGAGAATCCAAAGATTCCATTCGAAAGTTCATACCACGTACGCACACATACTCTTACTATACCACCATCAAAAAAGGAAAAAAAAAATGAAACATTTACAATCACAACAACAGGCAATTGCAGTTGCGAAAGCAATATCATTATGATGATAAACATCTGAAAATAATGGATCTCATTGACGGACCTCATTTTTCTGATGGTTTGGCCCTAATAAATGGACCCAATTTCTAAATAATGCAATTAATAAATACAGACAGAATACTGTATGTATTTATGTATGAAGGCCCAAAAAACATCTGCAAAGGCCCAGGACAATTTCGATGATAATGATGATATAGTTAAACAAGAGCCTTTGGATAGTCAGAACTGAGAAGGCCCTGTATAACCTAATTTGATGAACTAAACTGCTAAAGCACTCTACATGTTAAGGTCAAATGATTTGGAACCCTGGCCTTGATCAGGGTCTCCTCCTGAACTGCTTCCATCAGGCTTCGGATTATTTGGATTGCTCAGCTGGTAAGGTCCTTTAGCAATCACCCTGCAATGCCAACAATCACAGATTCAGTTTGGAAAAGACCACTAAAACAACCAAGTAAATTCTTTGAGTAACTCAATCTCCAAAAGATAAGTAGATGATCAGAGTTGTAAACACATAAACTATCAAGCATGTTTTATCGTGAAACTTAAATTTGGCATGCTTCCCATGCAGAGAACTCAAAAGTAGAGTAAAGTTCACAAAGCAGCATGCTCCTGCACAATAGAGAATCTTTATGTGTTTGCAGAAGCTGTTATGGAAAGTCTAGCTTCCCCAGATGAAAAACTTTTCCACCCTTCAATTTTTTATCTTCGTTTAGAGATAATTAATCGTTAGATGAAATATCACACATCTCTAAACAGATAAAAAAACGCTACGTTTCAATAAGATACAGATTTAATACGCAGTGTTAATCCAAGCATTTTGGCATTAATCCACACCCACCGTGCATGTCGCTGAAATGGGGCTTGCGTGGATTAACGTCATGCACTAAACCCATTCCCTAGTTAAATACAGAACTTAATATCTTTGCTATCAGATCCTCTGATAATATCATAACAAATATTTCAACAGTGATAGGTAAAGTGAAACAAACTTGATTTCTTTTTCTTTTGAATAAGGTCTTAGAGTTAGAACCTCGCGACTGAAAATAACCATACGAAGAAAATTGCCTCCAACTAGACTCCTCAATTCTCAAATATGACCCGGTAGTATGAGATGCCCAATAATTGCATCAAAAAATTAAAGTTATAACAGATGTACAAGAATTCTTTAAACAACTCGGTAGTATGTGATGTTAACTTGTGATGATCATACATTTAGCCTGCATAAATTATTCACCCACCATATTTTAATAAGGAAGCCTAATAGCAAAGTACATAGAAAGCCTTGTTTTCCAAATAAAATCTTATGGTGAAAAGATTTAAACTCTCAAAACTCGAAAGGTCAAGCTTTTCATCACAGGGTGCTCCTATGGAGAGCTCTACTCTCGAGAGATTGAGTTCTTTATCCATAGTAAGAGGGACTAATAGATTCTCACTCTATTTTAAAAAAATTGAGTGCAAACCTCAAAGATGGAAAAAGCTTAATCGCTTGAGAGTGAAAAGCTCTCCATAGCAACATCCTTCATAGTAACAAAACAACACCACATGTTTATTCATGTTAAGTCCCTGATTTATCTTTTCAAATCAACTCAAAGAATCTCCCAAAACCACACTCTTACCTTTCTTTTCTCTTCTCAAGGAATTTTAGAAGCGAAGCTCTTCTTGGGTATCTCATATCTGTCCAAGAAAAATTTCAACCCATGAATCAGCTTATGAACTTCATAGACTTTTCAATTTATAATCCCAATCTTTCAATCGCACAACAATAACATGAGAAAAGGAAAAATATGACCAAATACCTGATTTAATAGGTGGGGGTCCTGGTTTAAGGACTGCCTGTTCCTTAGCAGTGTTGTCTTGAGGCACTTTGGCCACATCCTGATTTTCTTTAACAGTAGAAGCACTGGGGAGGTTCTTGTTAATGTCAGAATTAGTGCTATCAGAGCTTAATTTGGTGGCTAGCTCCATGATCTCCGTGGCCTTCTCAGGAGCAAAAGCATCGAACACTAACACTTTTCCAGCATAAAATATCGTCAATTGGGGTTCAGGGTCTGACCTACACTCGAGAAGATAAAAACACTTTAAGAATGAGAAGTGAAAATTTGAACAGAGGTTCAGAACCACCAGATCTGAGTACCCTCCAGAGCAAAAGGATACCAGAAATTACCTTGATTCCGATTTTAATTACATAACTGGTAAAACCATGGATTATCTCAATAACTTCATAGAACTTCAGGCTTTTGGTGGGTGTCGTGATGAATTTTGAGTTATTCCCCAGGAAGAAAAACTTTTTTTTCCCCAATCTGTCTTGCTTATAATAAAGCATGTTTAAAGAGGTGAAATTCACGCACCTCGAATCAGATTTCTTGATGCAGGCGTTTTCCACGAACTGTGGAAGACATTCCATAGCTGAAGCATTAAGTCTCAATGTATCATCAGGATCTTCCAGGTTTGTCTTCAAGTCCTTCGTAATTGCTGAGTATTCAGAACCAAACAACCAAACAAGAAGTCTTTAAGAAATTCTTTTTAGGCAATTTCAGAGGCTTCTCTCAGTGATTAAGCAACTCATACAAACACTTCTTTTCTAGCACACAAAAAAATCACTGTAACCAAAACTGAACTTCCCATACCCCATCCCTGATTCAGTTAAAAAAAAAAAAACAAGAACACTGAGTGGGCAAGGCACATAAACGAGCTAAATGAAGCAAAACCAAAAACCCAGAAACCAGAAGGGGACAAGAGGAAGGGAAATCCCCCCCGGGGGTGGAAGTACCTCTAGATTCCATTTTTCCAGCCATTCGAAGGCTTAAAGATCCAGACTCTCGCTTCTCCTTCAAGAGCTGGCTCAAGACGTTACAATACTGAGTGAAATTGGACCTTTCCGACGACTTGCCAGGCCTCCGGCTATCCGCCGCCGGGTCGGGGAATTTCGACATCTTTTCAGAAAACCAACAAGATTTTCGAGAGAAAAATCGGTGGAAGTTGATTAGCAATGGTAATCTCTGTGATTGCTGAGAACCCTTTTCATATCACAGTGGGAGTTATGAGGAAGAACCGGTGGGGAGAGAGAGAAGAATATATGGGAGCCACGCAATTCCCTGAGCTTGTTCTTTGAATCTAACAGCCCTGAGGAGGAACAAGCCCCATGTGGTCTTATCTTCGAAATATAATTAAAAAAATAATATATTATAATACTAACATTAATTTTGACCCAAAAAAAAGAATACTAATATTAACAAAAATAGTAACTTTCCGCCTTGTTGTGTACTGTTAGCTTTTTCTTTATTTCCAGCACGTGTTTCTTGCGCGAGGAGAACATGGAGGCTTTTTTGGACCCTAGAATGAAAGATAAGCATTGGAGGTTGCCATCTTTAACATGGATAGTTTATAATTTATTATATTATATTATATTATATTTTTTTTTTAAATAGCTAAAAATAATCTGGGCCGTGGACATTTGCTGAGGGAAAATATTAGTTGAGGACTCCTCGAGTACTTTATATCAAAAAATGACCATAAAATTCTAAAATTGTATTGTAACCCCTTTATACCTTGCTGAAATTACATTTTTATAGAGAAAAATAACATTACCCTTAAAGTTTAAAATAATATAAAAAACTCACATGGGAAAGATTAACAATACTTTATTTGTATTTTAACAATAATTTATTTATAATTAACAACAATACATTTTACAAAGTGAAAAAAATTAATAGCATGAGTTTAATAAAATGAGTGTTCACTCTACATAAACAACAAATCTTTCAGGATTTGATAACACTTTATTGACAATTAATAATAATACATTTAGACTTTAACAAGATAAAAAACCAAGCAAGGCTTTAATGTAACAAATGTTCATGCTACATGAACAACAAATTATTAAAGTTTTAATGATAAATCATTAGTTATTTACAATAATAATACAACAACTTTAAACTTTAAAAAATATAGAAAAACTAATAAGATAAGCTTAATTTTATAAGTGTGAATCCTTCATTAACAGGTATTTATTCAAATTTTGACAATAACTTATTCAAAATTAACAATATCATATTAAAAATTAACATATGGCTTTTTTATTTTAAATTTTAGCAGTAATGTTGTATTTTTTCATAAAAACTTAATTTCAGTATAGTACTGAAGAGCTGCAGTGTAATCCCAAAATCTTATAATCATTCTTTGGTATAAATTACCTCTAGAGATCGTCAACTGATATTTTCTCCGCATTAAACTTGTAGAGAAGTCATGTGATTTATCGCATACAAATATAAATAATGCTTGTGAGAATGACAAAAAATACTCCAAAATATGCAAATAACTGTTAGGTACCGAAAAATATAATAATTATTTTATAATCCATGAAGACCTGTTTTTTAATTAGTTTTCACGTGGAAAGACTTTTTTTGCCCTACTAAAAAAATTGCACAAATTAAGGCAACTTAAAATTTGGTATTCCGTTTTAGTTATTTCCTTAAGAAAACTAATCATTTTTAAAAAGAAAATAGTAAGTGATTTTTAATTATTATACTTCACCAATAAAAAATTTACATCGAGAAACTTGTAAGTTATTATTTTGTTCTAGTCATTTCTCCAAGAGAATTAATCATTTCCCAAAAGAAAGTAGTAACTGATATTAGTTATTAAATTTTATTAATCAAAAAATTTGCACAAAATAATTTATAATTTACTATTTTGTTCTAATAATTTCTCCGTGAAAACTAACCATTTTCCGAAAGGAAGTGGTACCACATTTTTAGTTGTTAAACGTCACTGAAAAAAAAAATTATACAGAATAATTTATAATGTGTTATTCTATAGAGTCATTTTCCAAAAAAAAAAATATTCATTTCTTAAAAGAAAATTACTACTTTATTTTAAGTCTTAAAATAGAGACAAATATGTGTTTTAAAAAAAAAAACTCAAACAAGTTCTTATAGATTAGAAAGTATTATTGCATGTCACGGCACCTAATTGTCTTATGCATGTTTTGGAAGTATTTTCCTGTCATTTTTCCATAATACTTTTTATCAAAAAATACAAATAAGAAAATGTTTATTTTATTATGCTTTATATTAATTGGCGATGAAAATGAAAAATAAAAGGCTATCAATTTTCCCAACAATAACCGTCAATTTCTTAAAATAAAGAAAACACCAAAACTTTAACCATCAATATCAAATTTCGATCATGTGATTTTCATCTTAAACATGAGCACGGCGCATCTACTCTTATGATGAAAAGAGAATCCAAAGCCCTAAAGAGAAATGACGTGAAGTCTAGTACTCTAATACTATTATTTTTTTAAAAAAAATAACTGTGTAAAGTAAATTTTAGAAAAAATTTTGAACATGAAAAAAATAGTTTCAATATTTTCATGAAAAATATATCTTGAATAGTGAAATGAAAGATAAAAGAATAATTTTTTAATAAAGTAATTGTAATTAAAATTTCAAATTTCATAGAGAAAAAAGTAACAAAAACATTCAAAATAAAATTTAAACTTTTTATTTGTATTAATCAAAAACGAAGAAAATAATTTTTATTTATTTATTTTGTAAGGGAAAATTAATCTGCATACCCATATAAGTTTACATAATTTTGATTTAGTTCCAAATAATTTATTTTATTTTAATGAAACCCTTATAGTTTAACTGATTAAATATGTTAGTCCTTGATTGTTAAAATTATTTAATCTTCTTGTTCAAAATATGAAATTAAGGACTTCTATATATTTATGAAAAGATTATATAATTTTAAAAATAATTTTATTAAATTAAAATTATATACTATACTAAATTAAAATTTTTTGGCTAAAAATATTAAATCAAATTTTATATGAATTTTAAAATTGTTTTTATTTGAAAAGTCAATATTGATTAATAATTTTAAATTTCATATACTAATATATTTAATTGATCAAATTATAAAGGCTCGATCAAAATAAAATAAATTATAAGGACCTAATTTAAAACTAAAAAATAGAAAGGCTTGTAGATTAATTTTTTTATTTTTAAAATTAAAAAAATATTATGAAAATGAGAAATCAAACAAGCCTAGTGTTTAGATGTGAACCATCAAAAACTAAAGATTGGCAATAACCAATTTAAATCTTTTATTTTGTTTTAGTGTTGTAATTTTTATATATTTTATGTGTTAATTTGAAATTTAGATTATAAACTGTAAGTGTATGAACAATTTAAATTTTAAACTCATTTTTAGTACGTGCTAACCCCTAAACAACAAAACATATTATGTAATCAAAGGTTAGTGCATAAGTCCAAAGTCAACAATCCTAAAGCTAGATGACTCGGGCATTGACATTGGTCATCTTTCTAACCAAGAATCGCAGGCAACTAGATGTTATTATTGCAAAAAATATTTTTTACATCAGTTACTTTAAATTTTTTTAGTTGCTTATTAAGAAAAAGTAAAAAAAAATGACGTAAAAGACTTTTCACATCAACTATTTAAAATAACCAACGTGAAAAGTTTACTTTCTACATTAGTTTTTAATCGAAAAAAAAAATTGATGTTACAAGGATTTTAACATTGATTTTCTTAATAACCATTGTTGTAAATTTATTTTTGTAAAAAAAATTGTTTACTTTTCAATACATCTAGAACTTAAACTTGTAGTATGTAAGAATATATGGCAAGTAAAAACTGCCATCTAGCAAAATTAATAACTACACAATAAGATACAATTATATTAAATATATATTTATAAAATAAACGAACATAATATTTTTTCATAGTAAATAATCCATTAATTTATATATTTGTTCAACTGGTAAAAAACTATAAAAAAATTCTCAACCTCTTACTTTGAAAAGAGTTCTTGAAAAAATTGTTGGGTCAAAATATCTCGAACACCATCAATCTTTTTTTTATTATAAGGACTCATATTATCAAAAATCTAAAGAATAATATAATAAGTACTTAAATAGAAGAATTTAGACTAAAAGAACAAAACCAAATACCTCATATATACTTTATTTATTTTCAATTAAAATTATCTCATACATACAACGAATAATATAATATCTACATTTTGCATGCCCTGGCTGTCAACAACATTGAAATAAATGAAAATTTAAAATTAAATCTACACATATAGAGTATAATTAAATATGAAAGCTAAGGGTTCATACTCACATTCTGGTAAGTCCAATCTATCATTGATTTTGGCTTGTGTATCCCAAATCATATAATATGTCTCAAGTATACTATTATCAATTGTAAATGAAAAAAACCTTAAAAAACTATAGATATCTCTATAAGTAAAGTTTTATATAAATAAAATTACTTGTTAAAAATTCATGTTAACTTGTCACTTGTATTTCCACCAAAAGACAAAACCAATACATTATACCTTGATTCATGCAAAGAATATAAAGTGACTAACAGTATGTACAACATATTAAAATTTTAATGGACATTAAATAATACAAATAACTTTATAAATGTATACATGCACGTGCACAACACAAGCACACATATGAATAAAAAAATACTTGTCTCTCAACAATCGATGCTAGACAACATGACAACTTTGTATTTGACATATGATTCATGACGCATTATGTGTGCTGCTGAAGTTACTAAAAGGATTAATTTCATTCATACAAAGTCCAAGTCAAAAGTTTCTTAGCTCGATACCAAATAAAAAATAATCACCAATAATCTCCAAGAAGGTAAAATCATATGTCTAAGGTTTGTCTAAATCACATAAATTTGGATCTAATGACTAAACCAACAATGCCCATTGCCCTAAGAGCAAAAAGTAACTTCCAACAACTTCATTTAATGTTATAATTTGGCCATAAACTTCCTATTACTAATAAATCAACTAAAAAATTGGATTGAAGAGAAACCTTAACCTCAAAATGGAGTTAGAAGGGAAGAGGAAGGATGTAGGAACTTACCTCAAGTTATTCCAAAGTCTAAAATACCTCTAATGGTCAAAAAAGTTTTACCTAGCATAGCCCCTCACCGCTCTTCCAAATTCCTCTCTTTTCTCTTTGTTTTCTATGCTTAATGCTACTTAAATGCATTTCTCATGTTTCAATCATAGATGGTTGTCCATGTTATAATTCATGTTTGATCTCAAAGGCACTTATTCAGATTTGC